CGCACGCCGCTCTTTTTCTACCACTGCGCCCCAATGTGAGCCCAGTGGCCCCCAGCAGTTCTTGGGGCCGCCCCCAGCCTCTGGCTGCAGATGAGAAGAGACCTCCAGTGGTCCCAGCACAGCCCATCTGTGTGTGTGTGTGTGTGTGTGTGTGTGTGTACGCACACCTCAGCCCTCTTGTCAGTGCACACCTAGAATTACACAAAGAAATGAGTCTGTTTACACCGACACACGTTCTGAGTCCAAGGCAGCTGTATTCCACACAAGGTCACCCTCCGCATCTCGTGTAGCTCTGAGGGCCCTCTCCACTTACATGGCCACAACCACACAAACATCTCAAGGTGGGTCTAAAGCCTCCATTCACCAGGCCGCCCGGCCCACGGCTGGAGGAGGCATTCTCAGCCCCATTTCACAGCAGGGTCAGCAGAGCACAGCCGGGAGCAGCGTCACCCGGAGCTGAGACCTGATTCCCAGCCCCCTGTTTTAATCACTTCCCCCCGCTGCCTCCTCCCCCATAAGGCACCAAAACCAGCACTGCTGGGTTCACACAGCGAAAATGGTTCAGAGCGGGTGGGAGACATGGGGGCCTGATGCAGGCGGCGGGGATCGCAAGGGAGAAGGTGCTTGTACTGCGAACAGCAAGTTTGTAAATATGAAGCAGTGTGGGGAGGGGGCAAGGTGGCACAGGCAGAGTGTGGAGCATCTCCGGTGGGTGGTCTCTGCGGGAGAAATTCGCCCCATGTGGAGAGGGAGCACACGAGCCCTTTGGGCTGTAGGGTTGCCACGTGTCCGGTTTTCGACTGGAACGCCCGGTCGAAAAGAGACGCTGGCGGGTCCAGTCAGCCCCACTGACCGGGCCACTAAAAGTCCAGTCTGTGACACAGTGGGGCAGAAGCAGGCTCCCTGGCTCCACGTGGCTCCTGGAAGCAGCCGGCATATCCGGCTCCCAGGCGTAGGGGCACTGCCCCGTCCCGAGCACCAGCTCCACAGGTCCCATTTGCCAGGAACTGTGGCCAATGGGAGCTGCGAGGGTGGTGCCCACGTGTGCAGGCAGCATGCTGAGACTCTTTGCCTAGGGACCAGACCTGCCGGCCACTTCTGGAAGCCGCCTGAGGCAAGCACTGCTTGGCTGAAGCTCACACCCCAAACTTCCTCCCAGAGCCCGCACTACTTCCTGCACCCCAGCTCCCTGTCCTAGCCCTGATCCCCCTCCTGCACCCCAAATCACTCATCCCTGGCCCCACCCCAGAGCCCACACCTCCAACCGAAGCCTCCACCCACTCCCACACCCCAACCCCCTCGGCCACAGCCTGGAGCTCGCACCCCCACCCAGAGCCTGCAGCCCCATCCGCACTCCAACCCCCTGCTCCAGCCCTGCGCCCCCTCCTGCATTCTGAATACCTCAGCCCCAGCCTGGAGCCCGCATCCTCAGCAGAAGCCCTCACCCCCCTCCCACACCCCAACCCCCTGCCCCAGCCTGGTGAAAGTGAGTGAAGATGGGGGAGAGCAAGCAATGGAGGTGGGGGTTGTGTGAGTGGGACCTCAGGGCTGGGGCAGTGCAAGGGTGTTCAGTTTGTGCTGTTAGAAAGCTGGTAACCCTAATGGACTGGTGTGGGGCTGGAATGGTTCACAGTCCTCGTGGGCCGGGTACATTTCAGCCGGTGCTCAGAGCAAGGGCGGGACTCCGGCCATTTACACAGAAGCAGCTTTTTCGCAGATCCACCTGTAGTGCAAGTTGCAGGGCTCGTCGTTCCACCGGCCGTTCTCGTGCAGGTGGGCGCAGTCCTCCTCTCTGACGTGAAAACTGTACATGTTATTGGGCTCCCCTGTGGCCCAAAACCTGAAAGGGAAGGAAGAGAAGATCCCTCAAGCCACTGGGCCACCGGTTCCGGCTGAGATGCTCCCATCTATGTGCTGCCTGGTAACCGGGTCCCCCCTCAGCATAACCTAGAGCAGCCTCAGGGTTGGTCTAACTTATGCTCAGGCCCCTGCGGCATTGTGGACAGCCAAAAATAGCCAAAGCCCAGCTGTGCTCCAGCCCCACCCCTACGTATGGGGCTTTTCTGCTCTTCTCCAGGCCCTTGAGCCTGGGCAAGTGTGCGTGTGGGAGATTACATTCCCTTTATGGCCCCTTGATGGGACCGGAGCTGCATAAAGGGGCCTCAGGAAAAGGAGTGAACAACATGGCCTCCAAGGAAGTCAGGCTGCCCTCTCCCTGAAAGGGGGTTTGTGGCATTTTCACCCCAAAACCCAAGGGTTTATTATATCCCCCCACAAACAGTGGAGGATGTCACGTAATCAGTGGTAGAAGCTGCCATCTATATGGGCTATGGCAGCACAAACTTCTCCTTGCCATGGTGTTTCAGACCTGCCCTGCTTTGGAGAGACCCCTCTGTAGGCTGAGAGGGGCGCTCCATCTCCTTGGCCCATTCAATCCTCGGCCCCCCGGCTGTAATGGCCAACAAGCCCCCAGTGCAATATGTGGATGCTTTCCCCACTGGGAACTGGGCTGAGACCCACCAAGGTTGTTTCATACCGAGGGCACCCAGCAGCAACGCCATGTAGTTGCTACAGACTTGGGCCAGATTTGAACCAGTGACCTGCGGGGGACTGATAAAGGCTCGAGTCGGTCAGTTGTCAGGGCATGAAATCAAACGTGAGTGGTGCTGTCCCAGGCCTCAGCCTCGGAGCTACTGAAGTGGAAACAGGGGCAGCTGGGGAAGGCCGGGGCAGGAAGGGGAGAGTGGAGGATCTCCCCATGCTTACGTAAATGCTGCAGGAGTGTTGTCCACCCAGTGCCAGACGCCTTCAGTCCCTTGGTCTGTGAAGCCGATCCAGTGACGAACAGAATCAGCTTTAATGGCCAAGTAATTCTAGAGTGGATGACACAGAGGATTGGGTGGTTAGAACTGGAGCATAAGCTAGGCCTCATGGCGGCCCTCTGCATGGGTACATTTTACCCAATGGGGGAAGACAGGGGGTTGTACCTGCTCTGTTTGATCGTTGATCACCACCAGGTCGGCAGTCTGGCTCAAACAGGATTTTCTGGCCGCCTGCCAGCGCTGGGCAGACGAGGAGAAAAGGTAGCACCTCCCTCGGTACTGCTCCCAGCCAGGCTGGCACCGGGAAGTGCCTGTCGGAGAGAACACAGCAGAGCCAGCGCGTGACTAGGGAGGTATGGGCAGGAGGGGCTCCCCACCTTGGATAAACCCAGCGAATGCCTTCAGCGGCTGCCAGGTACCGCGGGAGCTTCCTTCAAGCAGGCCCTGCCCCTGGAAAGCATTTCAGCAAGTGCTCAGCT